AAGTTTGATCACACGATAGTTTACCATTAACTTCTGACAAAAATGTGAGCACTCTCCCTCTCGGGGTAAGATGGCGCCGGTGTGCATGGCTTGCCGTCTGTCACTACCAGTGTTTTGTTTGGTTGTTTTTATTTTATTGACTATTGTAGGAAATGCCAACTCTCTCTTGGTATATGATCGCCTAACCCTACTGGATCTCCGACCTTCTGTCAAAAGCTGGGCAAAATGGAACCAAGCTGGACATAAAACTCTGCCCCCGCTAATATCGGAGATCCCGGCTCACCTGTGCCGTGTTCCAGATCCACCACCCCGGCATAAGTGCCGTCGCCGGGGTCGCCGGGCCGGCTTCCTGGTGAAGATGAAAGCTTCTTTAGGCTATTCTCACAAGCCCTTATTTAGAAAACAAGGAGCGGTGCCAAACATCTGCTTCTCTCGGCGATCGTTGGATCCTGTCTGTGCCTGGCTGGTACCTGTCTTCGGCCTGGATGGGACGTCCCAGCCTCGAAAACCCTGCTCTCCTCGTCCCCGCCGGCGTGGTGTGAATCCGCAAAACCTGCGGCCTCTGTGTCGGGCTTCTATGGCGGCTAGCGACGGGGACCCGCCGCCTACTGCCAGGTTTGGCCTGGTAAATGCTAGGTCGCTAGCGAATAAAACATTTATTTTGAAGGATTTTTTTACATCCCGAGGACTGGATTTTCTCTGTGTCTGCGAGACGTGGCTGAGCGCCGGTGAGTGCAGCATCTTCTCAGATCTTCTACCTGGCGATTGCTGCTATTTTAATGCCCCGCGTTTGTTGGGCCGAGGAGGAGGAATAGCCACTATTTTAAAAAGTCATTTTAGATGTAAACAGCTACCAACCCCGTCGCTTACCAGCTTTGAACTGTCTGTGTTTGAGCTGGGCTGCTCTCACACAGTGTTGTGTGCGGTGGTTTATCGGCCTCCTAAATACAATAAGGACTTTTTGGATGATTTTGCTGATTTTTTGGCTGAATTCATGCCAAAATATGATCGTATTCTTATTGTTGGGGATTTTAATATTCACGTGTGTTGCCCTGATATGCCCATGGCGAGGGGCTTTTTAAACCTTATTGATTCGTTTAATCTGGTGCAATGTGTGGCAGGTCCCACACATGAACGTGGACACACACTTGATCTTGTTTTATCTCATGGCTTCCCTAGTTTTAACATAGAGATTTGTGATGCTGTGTTTTCTGACCACAGTCCTGTGTTGTTTGAAGTTCCTCTTGTATGTGCCTCAGTTAAACCTCGCGCTGTTGCTCAGTGCAGACGTGTTTTTAACTCCTCCACTGCTGAGCACTTTTCAACAGTCTTTAACCAGATTTGTCAGATCCCGGATTTTTTATGCAGCCAGACTGATGATCTGAGCTCTTGGTTTTATTCCACCTGTCGGACTGCTTTGGACACTGTGGCTCCATTAAAAACCAGGCGGCCTAAAACCAAATGTGAGCCCTGGCTGAACGAAATGACCCGAGCTGTCAGACGCGACTGCCGTCGAGCTGAACGCAAATGGAAAAAGGACAAACTACAGGTGTCATTTCAGATGCTGAAGGACTGTTGGCGTCAATATCAAAGAACTGTGAAAGAGGCCAAAAGAAAACACTTTTCGGACATTATTTTGTCTAACTGCCACAACCCGCGTGTGTTATTCAAAACTATTAACTCTGTTCTTAGTGCACCATATGCTGACTCTATTGAGCCCTCATTAGAAGCATGTGAAAATTTGTTACTCTTCTTTATTGAGAAGGTCTCCTCCACAAGGGCTCAAATCTGTCCTTGTGCTCATGACCCCTCAGTCGTTGTTTCCTGCTCTGCTGTCTTTGACAGGTTTGAGCCTGTGACTCTGTCATCCCTACAGGAGACTGTTGGTCATCTTAAGCCTGCAGGGTCTCCAAATGATGCTGTTCCTCCTCGACTTTTAAAAGAGGTGATACCTACAGTTGGTCCTCTGGTTCTTGAGCTGGTAAACCATAGTCTGAGGTCAGGCGTTGTCCCTAAAGATTTTAAACATGCAGTAGTCAAACCCCTGATTAAAAAACCTGCTCTTGATCCGCAGGATCTTGCGAATTACAGGCCTATCTCCAAACTACCGTTTCTTTCTAAAATTCTTGAAAAGGTAGTTCATAGCCAAATATTGGCCTTCCTGGAAAAGCAAAATGTATTAGAGGTTTTCCAATCTGGTTTTAAACCCTTTCTCAGCACTGAATCAGCCCTTTTAAAAGTTTTTAATGACATATACTTAGCTACTGATGCTGGGGACTGTGTTGTTCTTGTGCTTTTAGATTTGACAGCTGCTTTTGATACTGTGGATCATGCTGTTTTATTCTCTCGTTTAGAGCACTGGGTGGGCATTAGCGGCACAGCTCTGGAGTGGTTCAGGTCCTATTTGGCGGGGCGAACTTTTTGTGTCAGTCTCGGTGACTATGTGTCGTCCTCCGCTCCGCTCTTGTGTGGTGTCCCGCAGGGCTCAGTTCTAGGCCCCCTCCTCTTCTCTTTGTATCTTCTTCCTCTCGGTTCTATATTGAGAAAGCATGGCATTGCCTTCCACTTGTATGCTGACGACTGTCAGATCTATGTCCCTCTAAAGAAAAAAGGCAGAAACCTCATACAGCCATTACTACAGTGTCTTGACGACATAAAGGCTTGGATGTCTGTGAATTTTTTAAAATTCAATGATAAAAAGACTGAGGTGATGATTTTTGGTAGTCCTACTGAGACACCCAATGTGTTTGTAGATTCCTTGGCCCAGTTTGTTAAACCAACTGTCACCAACTTGGGGGTCAAAGTGGACTGTGATCTGAAGTTTGAACATCAGATTAAGGCGGTGGTAAAATCTGGCTTCTTTCACCTCAGGCAGCTGGCAAAAATAAAGCCAATTCTTTCACGGCAGCACTTTGAGACAGTGATCCACGCCTTTGTAACCACTCGGCTGGATTACTGTAACGCACTCTACATTGGGGTCAGTGCATCATGTATTAGTCAGCTACAGAGAGTGCAAAATGCCGCAGCTCGTCTTTTAACTGGCACTCGAAAGTTTGAGCACATTTCCCCTGTTTTAGCTTCACTTCACTGGCTGCCCATTTCTTTTAGGATTCATTTTAAAATTCTTTTATTTGCTTTTAAAGGTCTTCATGGCCTTGCCCCCTCTTATCTCTCTGATCTGATACAGCCTTACACTCCCTCCCGCTCTCTCAGGTCTGCTGATCAGCTGCTCCTGATTGTACCCAGGACTGAGCGTAAATTTAGAGGAGATCGTGCTTTTGCTGTTGCAGCCCCAAAACTGTGGAACGAACTTCCTTTAGAGATAAGACAGGCCAGTTCCTTATCTGCTTTTAAGGCACTCCTGAAAACACACCTCTTTACCCTGGCTTTTAATACCTTGTGAGATGTTGGTTTCTATTTTTTATTTTATTTTAGCTGTTTTAGGTGATTCAAATGCGGTTTTATCAAGTTTTATCAAGTTTTTATTTTTAATATAGGGCTAGTTTAATTTTATGTATCATGTGTTTTATTTATCTTTGCTGTTTTCTTTCTAGTCAATTGTTTTAATGTACTTTCTGTACAGCACTTTGTTCCTGTGCTGGGTCTTGTAAAGTGCTTTATAAATAAACTGGATTGGATTGGATTGGTTACCATGGAGACGCATTTGCTGCACATGCACCACCGGTTTTGTCCTGCTCTCGGTTCATCCCGCCCTTCTTGCTCTTCATGTTGATGCTCGACATGGTCAGTGATGTCCTCATTAATGTTTCACTCTGGTTCAAATTGAAAAGGCTGAACAGATGACATGTTTATGTCGCTGAACATTCACTACAGGGTCCCAAAGCCGGCTAGTGCAACCAAAGTATAACCATGTGATGTCACTACCCAGAGTGCATTGCGACGCTAATAACAAAGGCGACCTAAGAGTTAAACTATTTTTACAAATTTTATAAAAAATGAAGACATTAAAAAGGTTTTTTTACACCACTTTAATATAACTGATACTAACATTTATCTTTTAAGAACCACAAGGTTTTGTAACCTGGGTTCCTTTTAAAGGGTAAAGCAGCCAGTGTAAACACACCCATCCACTCTATCAGCAGCTACAGTAAGTGATGCGTACTTTGCTTCATAGACAATACACGACGCGTCCAGTTGAGAGGCTGGGTGAGTTTCAGTAAATATCAGCTGACTACATAACAGCTCTGAAAAACCCACATTTTGCTTGCTTCTCTCTCACTGGCCTTGGCATGCTCTCACCACCCTCCATGTGTTGTAGCATCACAGCCACTATCAAATAAAAATATTATAGGCTGCTACGTTTCCACCCCAAGGTGATGTTGAACACACTGATGTAGCGATGATGTTTTGATATTTTTGTTTGAATAGGTTGTTAACATAAAGCACGTCTGGACAGGATTATTTTTTAGTTTTCTGCATTATGGGAATTTATTTCACTCTTTGAACCAGTCAGCCTTGGTTTTCATTTCTAATGAAGGTCTGATGTTTACCTGGGCTGTAAGATGAAAGCAATTATTCTGAGTACAGCCACCTGAAAGGGAAGATAAAACATCTGCAGCTCTTTAGCACCTCATATGTCCTTTAAAACTCAACCTCTATTGATGCATGTTTCTCAAAGGGCTCGTCTTTGAGTCTGATTGAAAGTCCGGATGAGTGTTGGTGAGGAGAAAAATCAATTTATGACTTGTTTGCTGCTAAGATGACTAATAGCACTTCTAAATAACTATTCTATGTTCAGGCCTAAATGAAAAAAAAAACACATTTTACTGTGAAAGCAGCTGTACTTCAAAGAAACAGATCACATTTCTATTTATACCGTCTGACTAAGTGCTTCTGTAAAAGCTGTCAAACAGTTTTTGCATGGCAGAGCTGAGGAGCTAGTGGTTTAAAAACATGTCATTATCAGGTAATAACATAATTTTGAAGTCTTGTCCTGCCTAAATTAAATGAAAAGACATAATTAAAAATAAACCTCTTACTTGGGTCTGAGAGGATGGAGTCTGTTTTAGGGAGAAACTGGTCACACCTGATTCCTTGATAGCCTTCTCGACACCTGGAAGACAACAAAAAGACAAAATAATAATTCAGATGAGTAAAACACTTTTGCTGATGTTTTGGTGCTTTGTGTCCTCAGATCAACCAAACATGAGCTTCACAGGAGTCCAAAGTGACACAAGCAGGCCAGAGCAAGTGAACAGTGAAGAAACATCTCAGGTTGGTGAGTTGTATCAAAGGTCAATTTTTAATGAAGTTGGTTTTTAAAGGGCTGTGTAGGTGACTTTAGGTGTGTCTGAGTGAAGGTTATTAAAAAAAGTTCTGTCCTACCCATCTATGATAGCCTCCTGTAAAAGTGTTGGGTTAGTTTTGGCCTCAGGGACTGAGGAGCTAATGGCTAGTCTGAGTGAAGCAAAGATCATTACTGCTGCCTTCAAAATGTCATAGGGGTTCATCAGTAGGCAAGGCGGGCTAAGTGCCTTGCCCATGGACACGATTGCAACAGACTGAGTGGGGCTCCATCCCGCAACCCTCAGGTTCCTACACCTATCCCCTGTATTATCTTCTGATATTAAAGAGATGGTGAAACTCTACAACTCTAAAGGCCTGACAGATCTACGTCACACCAGGAAACAGCAGAGAACGTCTCTGCTAGTGGCAGCTAACCATTAGCATTTGCAGCTTCACCAGAACTTCTTCAGGCTTGTGTTTTTTGTGGAGATAAAACATCAACGGAGTTGAGTCAAACTGATGTTAGCCAATCAGAAGAGAGATGTCTAAATATCAGGGAATAAGACTCCAAATCCTGCCCCTGAAGCTAATAGTAAAAATGGTGAGAAACGCTGGCAGCGAAGGCCGTTAGCGATCAGTAAAAAGCTGGCAGTGAATGAGTTAAAGGAGCATAATCTGCTAACTCACTTATCGCATCCTTTTGTGCTGCCATGTGGGTCTCTACTTCTTCTACAGTATAAACAATCAGAAAATCTGTCCATCCTTATTCTGTCAGTGATTGTTGGAATTATTTGACTAAGTTAGGTCATTTCAAAATGTTTGTGACATCACAAATGGGGTAATTAGAATGGAACCACCTCTCACATGCTAGAGAGAGCTGCTGCTGGAGGAGCAGCAGCTCTACTCCAAGCCTCCAAAGGATATGAGAGCTTCTCATCCTATAGCAGCCTGAGTGAGAGGTGGGTGGGCGTGGTCAACTCCAGATTATTTCCTTAAAGTGACAGAGCCCCTAAAAGGCTCATGTTGGAAGGTACTGAAACAGTCAAGAATACAACAGCTGATATCCCTTCATGTGAGAGGGATTTAGTACCATAGACCTATTATAATGTAAGTAGAAAACTTATACTTCTTTAAGGATGATGTATTTTTTTACTAAACTGAGGCCATTCAGATGAATTGCTAAAATATCCATAAGCCCAAAATACACGTGGTGTTAAACAACAAAAGCATAATTCAGTCGTTATGATTGAGGAGATTTTCTTGTTTTTATCAGTAAACAAACTTTACATCAAGCAAGCAGAAGGTGATTTTCAATAACAGAACACTAACAGTTGAGAAAAGTGTTTCTCTGTGTGGTCTGACTAAACCAACTTCATCTTCCAAGGATTCTGACAAGTGTTCAGTCCGAGTCTGAGTCACATTAGCAAGCAGGAAATGATCATTAAGCAGCTAAAGTCTGCCCTTCAGAAAGTATCCCAGGAAAAGCCTGTTTTTAATAAATGTCAGCTCAATAAATACCTCCTTATCAACACGTGGAAGTCTGACTCACGCAGCTCAGATGTGGAACAGAGGGTTCGATGCTGTGTTTATTTACAGAGTAAAGCCTGATTGAACGCCTCGGTTTGTTTGGATATCAATCTTTGCCTCCGGCCGTTTGATCCTCGCTGCCTGCTTTGCTTTTTCAGTCCCTCTTGAGGAAACTCCTGGTCTCACATATGGAAATTAAGGAAAGCAAGAATAGGAGAACATGAAAATTTGCCGTCACAGTTAACATTTGATGCTCAGACCACTTTGGTTTCATTTCAGGCATTTCTGGAATGAACCGGCCTGTGGCCTGAAGGGTGAGGAGCATGTTGGGATATTTGCTGCTGCAGACCCAGAGGACGTCTTTGTCCACCTAAAGAAGACGTGAGCTCTATGAAGGTTTTGTGTGTTGACATGCAGATATAGACCAGTAGACACAACTGTTTATGATAGTAAAATAATATTGACGTTTTCAACAGCTAAAGTTTTGCTCACCCAACTAGGAGGTTGTACATTTGAGGGCAGGTGAGCTCTCTCTTGTTCAGGTGCACGTCCCACTGGAGGGAGCTGAGTGGGTTGTTTATAAAACACCTTGCATGAATTAAATTCTTACAGCAGGTAAATACTCACTTTGCTGTTTAGTTTAAGAGAACACGGCTCCACAGATGCACTAGTAAATAGATTCCCAGCTGCCTTTTATAACCAACCAGCATGATTTGAGAATGGTTCCAGGTGCTTTAGAGATGTTTGAAAGGCATTTATTTATTTATTTATTTTATCTTTGAACAAAATTAACATCTTAGCAACACAAGGGAAGCCCTGAACAATCATTTCTAGACACTTAAACATCAGTTCCTTTGAGACGTTCCACCACATACCAAAGGTTCTGGACTGGACTGGGATCTGCTGACTGTGGAGGTCATTGGAGTCCAGTGGACTCGTGGTCATGTTCTAGAAGCCATTTAGAGATGATCTTTGTGACACTGTGCATGATCCTGCTGGATGTATTCACCAGAAGATGGGTCCACGTGGTCATAAAAGGATGGACATTGTTTCTCTCCTGCCACCCAAAATGAGCAGACACTTTTCTTTCTGCCCCTGCCTCTTATCTTCCCAAGGCTCTTTGCCTCATCACTTCTAAGAGCAAATCTTTGGATTCTTTCTGGGAAAAAAGAAATTTGTTAAGCTGTCGAGGGCTGTTGGAAAAATCTCTGAGCTCCGGGAAAGGAACTGCTGGGCAATGGGTGCTCAGACTCTGGCGTTAGTGGAGGTGAATCACAAGCTCGATGCTCTGTGTAGCAAACTGGCAGCGATCCCTCAATTTGCACACATACCATGATGGAGAATGCCACTGCACGGGAGGAACTAATCTCCATTATTTGGCTGATTGGATACTCCTGAGACCAGACTGTAACCCCAGTTTCACACTGAAAGCATTCAGGGCTCTGCACGGTCAAGCTCCTCCCTATATTACTGAACTGTTAAAGTCTTATGCTCCAACCCGAGCCCTCAGGTCCACACACCAGAAGCTTCTAGAAGTTCCAAAGACCAGATATAAAAGTCGAGGTGATCGCTCCTTCCAGACTGTTGCACCCCGACTCTGGAATGATCTTCCTTTATCCTTACGCAGCATTGACAGTCTGGACACTTTTAAAAAACAGCTTTTTATTTAAAGCTGCTTTTACAAAAAACATTTAGTTTTCTTATTTTGAACTTAAATTCTTAATCTTGTTTAATTTGTTTTATGAAATTTTACAAATTTATGACTTTACTTTTTTCTGATGTGAATCCATTTCTGTTTTGAGGTCATTATGTTCTATTTTGTTGTGATCTATGTGAAGCACTTTGTCATTCTATGTCTGTGATAAGTGCTATAAATAAAATTGACTAACTTTTACTTACTATTATTGTCTATTGACAGTTTACACCAGCAGCGAAGCGAACATTTCCAGGCGCCTCCCAGAAGCGGCACGCTGCGCCACTACAGATGGGTTTGGGTTCTAGTTTTGCCGCAAGCCGCTTCTGGGACACATCAATTTGCACAGATAAAATAGGGGTAGACAGGAAATCACACACTGTTTCAGTGTAAAATCCTCAGCAATTTTCAAAATAAAAGTATCACACAGCGATATCAAATGTGATTTCCTTCTTTTTGGCTTAATGCGGACTGCATTAACAAACCGTGACGTGCAGTCTTGAGGGATCTTGTCATCACCAGCGAAGAGCATAGCGAGTAAACCGTGCCACTGCCAAGACTCTCCTGGTGTGAGAAGAACCATTTGGAAGTTCAGGAGCGAACTGTTTTGCGCCGCTGATATTTCACTGGCTTGCCCCAAAACGATACGTTATCTGAATCTGGCTCCCTGTTCAGCCTTGGCTCAAGAACTCCAATCTCCCCTGATGAATGAATGAATGAATGAATGAATGAATGAATGAATGAATGAATGAATGAATGAATGAATGAGTGAATGAATGAATACAGATGTGTGGCTGATAAGATGTTTGTGTCTATCTGTTCTATCTGTGTGTATCAGCCTATCATTTTCCAGCTATGACCTATCAGCGATGTGACTTTTCTACAGGAAACAGCAAACAACAACTTCACCCAAAAACAATTCAGGTTCTTTTAACAATATAAACAACTTTAGCTAAAACAATCCAATGTTTTCCTAAAGACTTGTTCTAGTCACACCCGTCATGACACACCACTTTTCTGACAGATGGTAACCGGGCTGCTGAGGAGGCCTAAAAACATCTGATCATCTGTCAGGATGTCAGCAGCTCTGCCTCCCCATCGAGTTTGTTGATCTCAGCTTCTTGTGTGACACCAAATTTATGTCTTGTTGGAATAAAAAAAAAAATAAATTAAACACAATCCATCCACCCATTATCTGAACCCGCTTGTCCATACAAGATCGTGGGGGGCTGGTGCCTATCTCCAGCAGTCAACGGGCAAACAGGCGGGTACACCCCGGACAGGTTGCCAGTCCATCACAGAGTAAACACAATCATCTAATTTTAAAGGCATTAGAGTGTTTTAAAGTACAAGTAGAACCTAGATTTGTAATCCTGCTCATCACACAAGAGGAAACATGATGTATGCATCAGAAGTCTAAGGAATGTGCACTTGTATCTTCTCATAGTGGATCCAGATCAGGCCTTTAGAAACCAATGACCCAACTCGGTCTCAGGAGCTTCGAACAGCTTCTTATTAAGATGCTGTGGTTCAGGATTGAAGTCTAACAAGTCGACAGGTCACCTCAAACACTTAAGGACCTCCTCAATGGGCTAAACCTTGTGGTT